TTTTTTTTTAGCCCAGATCACTCTTTTTGTCCCTGAATCAAAGAGCTAGTGGGGGCCATGATGTTAAGGTGACTCCAGCTCCTAGTGACCCCATGTGATAGAGTAGCACTGGGTTCCCTAGGGTTACTTGTTGTTAAGTGCCACTGAGTCTCTTCCGACTCATAGCAATCCTGTATAGGGTTTCAAAGGAGTGGTTGGTGGTTTTGAACTGCTGACCTTGCAATTCAAATTGACCTTGTGGGCCCAGGGCATTATCCTACAGCGCCACACCAGGACTCCAGGGTTCCCTAGGTGATGAGCTTTACAGAAACAGATCACCAGATCACCTCAGAGTGGTTGCGTGGTTCGGTTAGCAGCCCAGGGCTTCATCTTGGTACCAACAAAGCTCTTTGAACCCAAGAGTAGACACCAAATTTGCATTTTAGTCCTCCCTTGTGCTACTGATCTTGAGCATCTGGTTGACCTCAGTGTTATCCCATAGCTGTGAACATTATGAAGCACTTATTTGACTATAAGCTTCTGAAATCAGTCAGAAAACACCTCTTTCCCTGCAGTAGGCTTCCTTTGTAATGTGTTATTTTCATATCATTGTTTCGATTATCATTTTCTTTCATTTCTTAATGTTTTTAACATCTAGATTACCACACTCTAAACCCATTCCAATAACAATTTGCTATTTAGATTCACCTTTGATATTAAAGAATATAACTTTGACAATAGACGTTAAAAAAAAAGCAACAAAAACTTCTATAGAAATTTATGGTTTCATTAAATAAACTACAGAATCAATAACCTAAGAGAAATAAAACTTCAAGTTTCCAACAAAATCGGCATGATCATAACCCAAACAGCAGTAACTTCTACCTTTTCATTCGTTTCTCATTTTTACTCTCATTTTTCTAACTATATTCTGTACCCTCACCCATATTCTATACTCAAGTATCTTCATAGTGTACTTATAAAACATTTTTATATAAATGTACTTCTGAAATAAATCTATGAAAACTTCAAACAGTTTACAATAAAAATGTCTCAGAGATTTCCAGTAATTTGTTAAGTTATGGAGTACATCTCTTGTATTCAAATTTTTAATTTAAAACATGTTAAAGAAAATATCTTACCCCAAAAGTTTTCTGGCCAAGGACTCCCTAAGCTTGTGTTATTAGCCATGATATCCACAAGAAATAAAAGAGAAGAAAGTAAGATAGGGAGAAAACCCAGTATATCCTAAAGAAGCACTTTGATTCGATGTCTTTGTGGTTCAGCAAGAGTCAAGTAATTTCTACACATCCCCTCATATAGTTGTGTTTGCATAAAAGGAAATAAGTGTATCATGTTTCCTGCTTTTATACTCAAATTAGCAACTGTTTTTTTCTTATCTTGGAATTCCACATGGTTCCTGAGACACAAAACAATTTCCTTCTCGTCATTTCCTCAGCTAAATTACTAACTAGCCTCTTCTTAACCACCTCCAAAACTGCTTTTGGGATAGGAGGTTCTTTGTCTTGGTGATTGTCCGTTGCCTACTGACTTACCAAGGAAGATTCCAAACACTTAGATATGGAATTTTAGGTCAAATTAATATAGACTAGAGAAATAAGTGTGAATCCAGTGTTTGACCATTATATTTATATAGTAAATTACAGAGGAAAACGATTCAGAATTCTACATTCTCTTTAAGTGCAATTCATTAGTTGAATCTAATGTTCTTTTTTAAGGAGACCTGATAGTGTAGTGGATTACGCATTGCACTACTAACCACAGAGTCAGCAGTTTGAATCTACCAGTAGTTCCATGGGAGAAAAATGAGGCTTTCTGCTCCTGTAAAGAGTTCCAGCCTCAGAACCCTATCCAGGGTCGCTATGAATTGGAACCAACTTGATGGCTCATCACTACCAGTGTCCTTTTTTAAAAACTCAAGTCAGTAAAATTCTTACCATGTGTCTTTCTCTGTCTTGTTATATCAAATTTTGAAAGGTAATTCTTCAATGCATTTCATAATTATTTCTGTAAAGAGTAATTTATCATTTGTATTAGTCTTCAAAGGATCTCTCGTGGTATACTGGTTATGAGTCAGGCTGCTAACCTCACAGTCAGCAGTTCGAAACTAACAGTGATTGCACTCCTGTAAAGATTTACTGCCTTGGAAACCCTATACAGGATCGTGATGAGTTGGAACCGACTCCAAGACACACAGCCACCACTACCACCACCATTCCTCTTCAACTGATTTTCAATATGAAAAATAATTTCAACTCTGGAGGAACCTATTTTAAAAATTAATACAGGAAAACGGAGGCATGCATTCAATAACAGTCAAATGTTACGTGTTACAGCCAACAGTACAATGACCACAATCATTTGGTTTTCATGGAAGCTTGGAGGAGAAACGCCTCTTGTACTCTGTTCATGAATATGAGTTGTTGTCAGGTGCCATCAAGTCGGAACCGACTCATAGCGACCCCATGCACAGCAAAATAAAGAGACACCTCAATATGAGTAGGAAAATAATTTTTCCAGGTGGAAAGCAAGGGAGAAGGTATTGCATGAAGAAAGAAGACCATAAACAGAGGTGTCATTAAAGTTCATACTGGGCCTAAGTATAGTTATGGAAAGTTGGCTTTAAGGAAGAGTTGCATAAAACTTTTCAAGAGATGTAGATTAAAATTTCAAGAAGCTTTGCCTGTAAAATATATTCATTTAGATTGGATCCTAGGAGCATTGGGAAGCCTTTGGAAGTGCAAGTAACCTACCTGCACCTAATAACTATGCTAAACCTTCACTCAGTGATTCCATATTCTCAATCACTGGGTGATCCCAGAACCTGAGAGTCATTAGAATATGATTTAAAATAGTAATCATCTTTGTGCAGTGTGTAGTCTAGTCCTAAGTAGTTCTTGTTGTTGTTGTTAAGTGCCATCGAGTCGGGCCCGACCCATAGCGACCCTGTACAGGGTTTCCAAGGGTGTAAATCTTTACGGGAGTAGAAAGCTTCATCTTTCTCCCGCGGAGTGGCTGGTAGTTTCGAACCGCTGACCTTAAGGTTCGCAGCCCGATTCGTAACCACTACGCTACCAGAGCTCCTGAGAATTAGGACAGCAAAAGTTAATACACGATAACCTTCATGATTTTCTTTTTCAGCTTTTCTAGAACTACTTAGTTCCAATTGGTTCCAATTCATAGCGACCCTGGATAGGGTTCTGAGGTGTTATTGGTTCATTTTCTCATTTTATATATAGATATATAATTTGTTGTTTTTATTAGGTGCCATCGACTCGGTACCAACTCATAGCGTCCCTATGCACAACACACAAGTCACCACTCATCTGTCAATTTGTTGTACTGTGGTGGCTTATGTGATTCTGGAAACTATGTCACTGCTATTTTAAATACCAGCAGGGTTAACCATGGTGGACAGGTTTCAGATGAGCTTCCAGACAAAGACGGACTAGGAAGAAGTAGAGATGAACTCCTTCTGAATACTTAGTCACTGAAAACCTTGTGAATAGCAGAGGAACACTGTCAGCACCAGATTAGTGAATATACATACATATAAACTATAAAGTATTGAATGTTAAAATATGGATAACTAAGGAACGGTAAAGTTGTAGAAAATTTAGATTTCACTGAGCAAAAATAGACACCTCAATTCCTACTAAACTTTCTTCTGTGTATTATCTGTTAGATAAAATATTCAAGCTACTGGTTTCAAAAGGCAAAAGAGAGTTCAACTTTTATCTTTACTTTTTAATATTCTTTAAAAAATCAATAAAAATTAAAAGAACATCTTAAATCTAACATGGAGTCCTGGTGTGGCACTTCAGGATAATGAGCTGGACCAATTGGTTGGTTTGAACCACAAGGTCAGTGGTCCAAACACACCAGCCACTCCTCGGAAACCCTATACAGGGTCGCTATGAGTTGCAACTGACTTAAGGGCACTTAACAACAATGACAATGTCTAAAATATACATATAGTCTTAATTAAAGTACATTGAAATTTCTAAACAGTATAATATAATCTGGATGAAAGTATAATGAAATACTATTCACTTTTTATTGTTGTTAAGTACTATTGATTTGGTTCCAACTCATCGTGGGTGACTCTGTATAGGGTTTCACAGGAACAGTTTGTGGGTTTGAACCACTGACCTTGTGGTTAGAAGTAACATAGAATTGTTGTTGTTATGTGCCGTGGAGTCAGTTCCGACTCATAGCGACCCTGCACAGGGTTTCTGAGGCTGTAAATCTTTACGGGAGCAGAACGCCTCATCTTTCTCCCGTGGAACCACTGGTTCACAGGTTTACAATTACTGTATGTCATTTTAAACACATATTTTGTATTATAGGCTATCTGATTCAATAAATACTACCTCATTTCAAAAATTTGATGAAAACAAAAATCTCCACAACAAATAACATCATGATAAATGGGATAAAAAGATTGAAGTTGTCATAGACTTCATTTTGCTTGGATCCACACTCAACACTCTTGGAAGCAGTAGTCAAGAAATCAAACAATGTATTGTGTTAGGCATATTTGTTGCACAAGACCTCTTTAAAGTGTTCAAGAGCAAAGATGTCAGTTTAAGGATTAATGTGCACCTGACCTAAGCCTTTCGATTGTCTCATATGCATGTTGAAGTTGGACAATGAATAAGGAAGACTAAAAGATTGATGCGTGTGAGTTATAGTATTGTAGAAGAATCCTGAAAGTACCATGGACCGCCAGAAGAGCAAGCAAATTTGTGTTGGAAGAAGTCCAGCCAGAGTGCTCCTTGGACACCAGGATGACGAGCCTTCTACTATAATATTTTGGATGTGTTTTCAGGAGGAACCAGTCTCTGGAGAAGGACATCATGGCTGGTAAAGTGGAGAGGCAGCTGAAAAGAGGAAGGCTCCAATGAGATGGATTAGCATAGGACTGGGATGTGTTTGGTTCTGTTGTGCAGAGGGTGCCTTTGAGTTGTAATTAATTCAACAGAACAACAATGAAAAAAATGTGTATACATTCGTAAAGATTCACATAGACTCATTTGACACTAAAATAATCACCCTAAATGAATGCAATGAATGAACTCGTCTGGTTAAATGCCTTCTGTGCATAAACAGCACTCATTCCCTCTTAGGGTTGGGATTTAGGCTGAGATTTCCTTTCACTGTTTCATATTTTAGCCATCTAGCTTTTCTTACAAAAGCTTTTTTCAGTTTTGCAGATGGTCAGAACCCAGTCAAAATCTTGAAGAGTACTTATGTTGTGTCTGTTTAGGACGTAAGAATATTTCTTTCTTCTAGCAGTTTGTTTAAGCCCCCAGCTCTTATCCATATTTATAATTTGCTGGGTAAGGATTTGTACTTTTCCTTGGCAGAGATCCATATATGTGAGTGTTTATGTCTATGCGATAGTCAGTTCCCATGATTGGCAATGCCATAACAGGAAGCTGATTTTTATCTTTTAAAAAATGTGAAGTCTGCTTTTCTACTGTTCAGTATTTCACAAGTTGGAGTCTTTGGAGCTGGTTCTCCAGTAGTCATGAGAATCATTTAGAGGTTGGTTCTTCCCTCAGCAATTCACAGGACACTGGCTCTTCACTCAGGTCTCTGCTCACATACCATCTCTTTAAGAGGCACTTGTTAACCATGTTGTCTAAAGGATTCCCCACTTAAGCCACTCCTTCTCTCTTCTAACTCTGGATTGTTTTCCTCAGAGCTCTTATCAGTCCTTGGCCCTATGTTACATAGGCTTTCATTGATTTGTGTGTCTTAGAAAAAGTACAGCCAGAATGCCTCCCAGAAGCAAGGATAGTGAGCCTTCTTTTCACATACTTTGGACATGTTTGCAGGAGGGACCATGCCCTAGAAAAGGACATCATGCTTGGTAGAATAGAATACCAGTGAAAAAGAGGGAGACCCTCAGAGAGATGGGTTGGCATAGTGACTACAACAATGGGTGCAAACACAACAAAGATTGTGAGGCTGGCAGAGGACCAGTCAGTGTTTCATTCTGTTGTGTGTGAGGTCACTATGAATGAAGGTATCTTGACAGCACATAACAACAACAACACGAACAGGTTTTTTATTTACATATATGCTTTTTGTCTCTTCCTCCCTAAGTAAATTTTGTAAGGACTGGTAGTTTAATCTTGGTAATCTTTGTATCTCTCTCCTGTAGCTAAAATTGTGCTTAGAACACAACGGATTCAATATTTATTAAACAATGGAATAAAATATTTGGAAGGATCGTAACTTGAAAAAAGCTTGTACATTCTAGGCCACATTAGTAATTTTTTTAAAAATTGCTTAATGTTTACAAA